GAAGAACAAATGGGAGAAGCAGAGTGCCCACATTCATTCATTCACTCAGTCAGACTGCACACAAATTCCACAGGACCATCATAGATAGTACTCCCCTTCAACCGAGTGTGTTCTTGTGAGGACAAGACAGAATGAGAGGTCTAGGAGAAAGGCTACATATGGTGCGGGGTCACATCAGAGGGACAGGACTTAAATGTAAGTCTGGTTCAGTCTTCTGGAGAGAGTGACATTCTATATCATCCTTCAAGTGTAAGATAATTGTGTAAGCAAAGAACAGTGTGTGAAGAAGCTTAGGTGTCTGTTAAACCCCCTCTGACTGAGGGGACATGGGAGTGGACATAGGGGACAGGAGGCTAGGAATCATGTAGAGACTAGGTTGAGTAGGGTTTCATGGATGTAGAAAATAACCTCACCTTTCACTGGGGAGCAAATAAAAGTTTGCAGGAAGAGGCACAGTTCAATTTGTCCTGATCACTGTGACTCACAAGTACAGAGAATGGATTGGGACAAGCTTGGAGACGTCAGGACCAGTGAAGGGCCAAAGGCAAGAGCTGATGGATGCTGGAACCATCCATCTAGTGGCAGGTAGATGCTGAGACAAGGATGGATTTGAGAGAGGATCCTGAGTTTGAGTGGGTAGGATTTGTTAACCAGATAGGAAGGAATGAGGATGGAAAGACAGGAAGCCCATGTCTAACCATGGGGTCTAAACTGTCTGTGACCCTATAGGTGATCAAAGTGTTAGAAAAAAATATTCCTGAGTCCCACCCTGCCCTGTTATGTGAGGATTTCTGAATGGCGTCTGCAAAGTGTAGAAAGGAGAGAATAATTGAGGTGGAATTAAGTTGACAGGCCCAGAGATGTCTAGGAGGAAGAGCTGGGAGATAAGGCTGGGTGGGTGAGGGCTTGCTTAAGAGGTTCACCAGATAAAAGAAAAGCCCTGGGCTAGTGAGATGCTTCAATAGGTAAAGACACTTGCCACCAAACCTGATGACCCAAGTGTGATCCCCAGGGCACACAGGGTGGAAAGAGAGAACCAACTCCTGCAAATTGACCTCTACACGAGTGTGTGTACATGTGCTTAGACACACTAAATAAATAAACAAATATAAGAACAAGAACAATTTTTAAAAGTAAAGCCTTGTGTCGTGTTAAGATTTTGAACAATTCCCTTCAGGAGTTTCAGTGGGGATTGAAAAGATGGAGTCTGAATTTTACAAAGCCCTCTCTGTTACTGGCATGAAGGATGGAGGGGATCCCAGAAGAGAAACAAGGTTAATATCAGGCAGCATGTTTTGGAATGGAAGGAGCGGGGGCATTTGTGAGAGATTTCTGAGATGTGACGTCATTAGGGACTTGAGGGTAAATGCAGATGGTGAGCTATTTTCACCAAGTCCAGAGGGCTTTTTCCAGACTGCCTTTTATGATACCAGAGATGCTATGGAAGGCCTGGGGGGCCTGCAGTAGATGCAGAGATGCAGGCCTCCTGGGCAGCTGGAAGTTCCCCTCTTACAAAGTGTGTGGGAGCGCACACAGCAGGCTCACTTCAGGAGCACGCACAGCCTTCCACCCGGCGCACTTGCACCCAATGCCACTCTGTCCTGTCTATGACACGGACATTCCCTGTCCCTTTAGCCCCATTTCCCGTCCATTTGGCGCTCTCAGCAGCCTGCCCCTGTTGCACTGACTCCAAATCAGATAAGGGACCTAGCAAGATAGGGAGAGGCTGGCTGTGAGGCTGCAATGAGGGCTGCAGTCACTGGGATTATTAAAAGAACTGGCACAGTCTGGGTTGTACTCTTGGCTTGCAGCTAACTGAATTGCTTGCCAGTTCCCACCCAAACTGGTCACATTCCTATCTCCAAGCCTTTTGTTTGGGAGATGGGGTATTTATCTATTTATTTATTTTAATTTTATTTATTTATTTTTAAATTCTATTTATTTTATGTCTGTGGGTGTTCTGTCTGCATACATATCTATGTACCAGGTGCATGTCTGGTGCCTATGGAGGCCAGAAGACAACATCAGATCTCCTGACAGATGGTTGTGAGCCACCATGTCAGTGCTGAGAATCAAACCTGGGTCCTCTGGAAGAGCAAGTACCTGGCTATCCTGGAACTTGCTGAGTAGCTCAGGCTAGCCTGGAGTATGTGTGATCCTCCTCTGCCTCCTGGGTGCTGGAAGTGCAGGCCTGCACTACCGCATCAGGCTTCCAGCTTTTGCCTATCCTGCCCTTTGACCTCCATGGCAGTTCTCGGCCACCTTCTCCCTACTGCCTCCCCTGTGTGTCCTCTGGAAGTGTGTGTTTCCACTCCACAGTGTCCATGCAGTCACTCACCTCTCTCTAGTTTCCTTATCAAGGTTAAAATGGTATTACAGCTCTTTATGCTTCCTTGGTAAAAAGCATCCTGAAAACAGAGTGCTTGTCTCCACCATATTTGTTTCCTTCAAAGATTTCAAAACAAGACTGGTTTGTGTGCTCAGCTTTAAGGAGGAATGTAGCTTCAACGGGTGTGGACCTGGGAAGAATAAAAGCAGATGAGGCAACACTCTCCTGAAATCTCGGGAGGCCGATGCAGGATTGTGGCAGGGTCAAGGCCTCACTGAATTACACAGTGAGATCAGGCCACCAAGAGAAGCATAGCAAGACTTTGACTCTTCAAGGCCTACCTGATTTACACAGTGAGATCAGGCCACCAAGAGAAGCATAGCAAGACTTTGACTCACAAGGCAAGTGAATAAATGAACAATGCATGCACCCCAATCCAAAAACCTCAAATTTGAAATTTTTAATATTACTTACATTTATTTATTTGTTACTTAGTAAGTGTGTATATGGGCCTGTGTGTGCTGTAGCGTGTGTATGGTCAGAGGGGCAACTTGCCTTCATCGGTTCTCTCCTTCCACTGTGGGTTCTGGGGATTAAACTCAGGCCACCAGGCTTGACGGTTCCTTCTTTTACTGGTTGAACCTTCTCACTGCCCACCCCCCAAAATTTGAATCTGTTGATGATCCTACAAATAGAAAATTCCACATCCAACCTCATGACCTCATTAATAGGCTGCAGTCAGACTACGCCATCTTCAGGCACTGTGTGTGAGATGTTTCTGAAATGTGAATGAATTTTGTGTTTATACTTGGGTCCAGACCCCAATCCATCTCATTAATTAGTCACAAATAGTCAAATTTGAAAAGTAAACAGAGCTGGACTTAGTGGTACAGGCCTGTAATTCCAGCTACTTAAAACCTGAGGCAGGTAGAGTCCAGGTTCAAGACTAGCCTCAACTTAGTGATAGGTGTTGTTTCAAAAACAAAACAAGAGACAGGAAGAGAGGGAGGGAGGAAAGAGAGGGAGGGAGGGAGGGAGGGAGGAGAAAACAAAGTTGGAGATAGAGCTTGTCGTCAAGCACTTGTTTGGCATGTGTGAGACCTTACAGTGGATCCCAGTTCTTAAAAAATAATGAAAGAAAGAAAGAAAAGAAGGGAGGAAGAGAAAGGCAGAGGCGGGAAGGAAAGGAAAAATGGGAACATTTCTGGTCCCAAGCACACTGGGTAAGGAATCTTGACCTGTTTTTAACATGCAGATATTATCAGCGGAGTATTTCAGGATAGTATGAAAAACATACACCACAATAATTCAATTTCTATTCAAAATCTAAGATCAACTATAAAGCAGATGTGGATATCTTTAAAATATAAAATCGTTGGTCTCCAGGCTTTGATGGTCAACTTTCACTAACCATGAAGGGGGGTAGTAGATGGTGGACAGCTGGTGCCAGTCACTTTTGACTGTTCCGATTCACAGTCCCGACTTGTGTAACTCTTGATCCCCTTGCTGCTGCCTTGGTGGAGGAGGTGGCCTACTTTCCCAGAGAGCTGTGAGTCAGGACAGTCTACTAAGCCTGAATCAGGAAGAACACGCCTTGGCACAGGATTAGAGACTGACTGACGAGCTCAACGTCTCTCTCTTCTCATTTGTATATTTACTGATTTTGTGTGTCCATACCACATGTGTATGGACGTCAGAGTACAATTTGTGGGAGCTGGTTCTCCTTATACCCTATGGATTCTGGGGATCTGGCTCTAGTAGGCAGGTTCGGTGGCAAGTGCCTTTGCCTGCTCAGCCACACTACCAACCCACACCTCCATTTTAGATTCAGGAATTATAAGATTTCTCTTTATTGTTGGATTGAGAGAAGCAGTAAAAGTATACTTGCTTACCTCCAAAATAATGTCATGTTAAGTTGGGCGTCCTTATGGACAAAATTACCCGGAAGCAATTTTTGTAAGGTTTGTTTTTTAAATGGTTCTTATGAATTAACTCCAACCCTGATATAATTGCTCCTTAAAATATAAATGCCCAGAAACAGAAATGTTTCTGTTTGCAAGAAAAGTCAGTGTACTCTGCTGGCTGAGGACACTATAAATTTAGAGAGCCTGTACCCAGTTCCCACCCTGGACACTAACTCCTTCTTGAGCTGTGTCTCCCACCTTCCCTGCTCTTTATTTTATCATCAGTGAAACAGACACAGCTGTAACCTCTGCCTTGAAGGTGTGGCGTATCTGAGTGAAATTGGTGTCGGACACATAATAAACATTAGCAGATGTAGACGGTTTGGTACGTGTTTTCATGCTGGGCTCAAATGCAAATCTACTTGGGTGGCAACCGCAGGAGAGCTTTTCTGAAATTTTGCTCAACGACACACTAACCAAGAGGTGCCCTTCTATAGAGCATTAGAAACGCACCTTTTTGTTGTTTTCCTCAGTTATTTTACTACAGTGATTTTTTAAAAATGTATTTTATATTTGTTTAAACAATCTTTTTTTAGTTTACATGCCAATCTCAGTTCCCCTCCCTCCCCTCCTCCACTCTCCCCTCCTTTCCTAGAGATACATCTTATCCTGTCTTGATATTGACAAGAAGTGGTAAATGTGCTATTGGTGATTTTCTTCCTGGTGAAAGTCAACCTCTTCAACGACATGATTTCAAATTCTTTCAGCAGGTGCGATGACCCCGTGGGACCTCCAGTGTCTGTGAAGGAGACAACTGCAGTAAGTATCCGGGGAACCAAAGGTAAATCCTGAGTCAAATTAGAAAAGCCGTGTTGGAACCATCATTGCCGGAAGTCCGCTGTGCCTGCAGCTGGCCCACCCTGACATGCTCTTTGCCAGTGAACTGCTCCCCGAGGCGGACATTTCACAGACTAACTCGTCTGTGGACTGGGGTGGCATATACTTTACTCTACTTCTGATTTCTAAGAAGACAAGGCGTTGGTCCTAGATGCTTCTGTGTTCTCAGTTTTCCTGGAGGAATGTTTGCGCATTCTCCAATGTTTGCGTCTAGGGATTTGAAGGAGATGCAGAGTTTAAAAAAAGCAATGTGGGTGCCTGTGTTAAATGGAGTGGCAGAGTTAGTGGGGCGTTCTTAGGATTTGAAACTCCAATCTGGAGGATCAGCAGATATTTTCCTTTGAGACTCCTGGCTGCCACTTTCAATGAACTGTGTCAATGAGCCCTTAGCATGTAAGGGACTTGCCAGTGAGTGAGTGAGAGTGATTGAAGTTACCACCAGCAACAAAAAGGAAAAGAATGGAAGTTCTGCCTGAAGCTAGAACTGTATGTAGCATCCTGGAAGTTGACTGTTGATGCCACAGGAATTCTTGCCAAGATCTGAGGTGATGAATTTCCCACCACTTGATTGGCAGCCTGGCAGGAATGGTACAGGGGCATGTTAGTGTTTTGTGTGAGGTTTACTATGTAATTGCATGACCTTCCTGTCAAAAGAGACAGCAGTCGCTATTTAAACATTGTTAAAGGAAACAAAGCATTTCAGAAACACTGGGTTTTTGGCAGTAGATGGAAACCTAGAGATCACCTAGCCCAATGTTCCTCTCAGACTCATCACCATGGGTATCTTCAGCTGAACCGTGCTCTGTGAGGGCACTGTCTAGTGTACTGTGGGACAGGTAACTGCAGGACACAAAGAGCTATCAAAGTAACATATTTACATATTTATACCATACATTTAGATAGGATATTCTACAGCTCTACTATGACAGTAAACTCTAAGCAATAAAGCCTGTTTGAACATACCAGCATTCAATAGAGGAATTTGTTTTTACAGAGGTGTGAATTTCCGGGTTTTTTTTATTTTTTTATTTTTTATTTTTTTGCTTTCCGAGAGGTTTCCTTGGCGATTTCCCTACTCTGTTAGGGAGTTCAAGACTAGCCTAGGACTGGGCTATGTGAGATTGTATCTCAAAACACACACATACACACACACACAAACACACACACACACACACACACACACACACACACACACAAGCACACTTGTATGTGCATGCATCAGACAAACCTACTGTGTGGTGACGCATGCCTGTAATTCCAACACTTGGGAGGTGGAGGCAGGAGGGTCAGAAGTTCACAGCAGCCTTTGCTACATAGCAAGTTAAAGGCTAGCTCAAGCTATATTTTTTTAAAAGAAAAATGTGACCTGGCCAGCTAATTGTTCTTAGTTTTTCTGAACACATTCTAGCTTAGCTTTCTACCACCAGCGTTGTATTTGAAGGGACTCCAAGGCAGCATTTACTAAGTAGACAGCATCTCACTTCTCTGTATGTATCCCTATGTGGGATAGCATTTGTGTCCAGGATCTGAAAGCAGAAATGAATACGTGATTTTTAAGCCACAGAACCCAGAACAGGTTGCTGAATATGATCTCTGCTGGAAAGCAGGCATAGAACAAATCCAGGAGCACCTAGAAATTTTAATTTGTTGACTTTACCAAGGTGTTTGATAATATCAGGCAGCATGGGTTCCTGCTCCCACAGCAGCTCTGCAGGTTTGGCCGCCCTAGGAAGTTCTCAAATGTTTGAAGGTTAGGCTCTGACAGGAGCTTTGTTTGTTTAGTTATGTCAACATTGCAGACATATCAGCAGAGGGCATTGGAGTGGTGTAAAGGGCTTGTTTATCTCAGCGGCTTTTATGTTCCCTGTTTCCTGAAAGCCAGCCTCTTCCTGTAGGGAACCTGCCTGGTTTATGAGTTCAACACATTCTCAGAAGTTTTCCAGAAAATTCTCCATGACCCAGGAATGGTAGCAGTAGGTGTGGAGGACTCGCCTAAGGCCTGGCTGCATTCTCAGTGGCTCCCAGCTGTTAAATCAGTCCGTCATCTTAGCAGAGGGAGTATTGCTTTGCTGTTGCCTTTAGTTTCATTTTACCAACAAAGTCACTAAGGCACAAGAAGGTTAAATAATTTGCCTAGAGCCATGTAGATCAGTGAATCTCAATTTTCCCAATACTATGACCCTTTAATATAGTTCCTTATGTGGTGGTGACCCCTAACCTTAAAATTATTTCATTGCTACTTCATAACTGTAATTTTGCTACTTATGAATTTGTAATGTAAATATATGCAGGATACCTGATATGCACCCTCTGTGAAAGGGTCATTTGACACCCAAAGGGGTCGAGACCCACAGGTTGAGAACCACCGATGTAGACATTTCTGGGCAGGGACAGTCCCTCATCCAGCATGCTTTTCTGGGTCCTAATAGAGAACCACACACACAGAGTTTCTCTGTGGTAGCCCTGGCTGTCCTGAAATTCACTCTGTAAACCAGCTGGCCTCGAACTCAGAGACAAGCCTGCCTCTGCCTCCTGAGTGGAAAACTTTTTCAATAGCTCACTAATGTAATTTTTGTGAGCTTCTGTGGTTTTCTGTCTTGGCGTGTCATAACTACGTGCAAAGTGTCACTCCTCGAGGGAGGCCAGGGAGTGTTTAAGGCCAGGTTCCTCCTTTCAGATGGATTGTCATGTAGATATGAGCATTAGCAAAGCTACAGATCAGGGTTTGGGATCAGGTCAGATGAGTGTGAACAGCCACCACTCCTGTACACCATTCATGTGATGTCAGTAAGACACTTAGCTGAAATTTGGTTGTTTTATCCCCCAAATGGGGGGATGGTCCTTAACTAGATCGCAGTTTGTTATAAGGGCCCAAGGAGAAAAGATATGAGAAGTATGGTATTAAAAAGGAACTGAGGACTGGCAACATGGCTCAGAGGGCAAAGAAAGGCACTTGCCACCAAGCCTGACAACCTCCATCTCTGGGACCCCCATGGTAGAATGGGAGATCTGATTCCTGCAAGTTGTCCTCTGACCTCTACTACCATGCCTTGGTACTCACACCCTCAAATAAACAAATGATTTTAAAGTTTTATTTATTTTTACATTATGTATAAGTGTTTTGCCTGCATGTGTATCTGTATACCACATGAATGCAGTGCCCACAGAGGTCAGAAGAAAACATTGGATCCCTGGGAATCGGAGTTCCAGACAGTTAATAGCAACCATATGGAATTGAACCCAGGTCCTCTGGAAGAATAGCCAGGGCTCTTAACCACTGAGTCATCTCTCTACCCCTGTAATTATTTTTTTTTAATGAATGAGTAATTGTGTTAAAAAATAAGAATGTTGGTAACAGATGAAGATAAAAAGGGATGTATTAGAGGGGCTAGGGAGATGGCTCTGTGGAGAACACTTGCTGTGTAAGTCTGAGGACCTGAGTTCGAATCCTCAGCTCCCACATAAGAGCCAGGTTACATGCCTGTGACCCCAGCATCGGAGGTGGAAACAAGTGGATTATAGGAGGTCACTAGCCAGACAGTCTAGCCAAAATGGTGGGCTTCAGGTCCAGCAAAGAGATCCTATCCGGAGAATAATGTGGAATGTGATAGAGAAAAACACGATAGCCTCCTGACTTTGGCAGGTGCACACATGGGTACATGCACCTGCACACATACGTACACATATATGTACACACCACATTTCCACTTCCACACACAAATTTCTAAAAGTGTTTTAGAGAAATCCAGAAGGAGAGACTATTCCCGGGGCCGGGCGCCATCGTGAATTTGGCAGTAATCACCCCTTGCAAACTGCGTGCTATGTTGGTGTTCGTGGTACAGATGAGAGTACGGCTACTTTATTGCTCCCTTGGGAGGCTGGCCACCTCCAGGACCCGACTTATCTGACTTTGAGTCCTTGGTTAGGAGAGTGAGATTTTTGGTAGGGAGGAAGGAAAGAAAGCTAGTGCCACAGTGAAAATGAAAAGAAACCAAGCTTTGAACATGATGCTACGATGTGAAATACCAGAAGGGCGTAAGAATTGTGGTGGGAATAAATTCTGCTTGGGAGAGTTAAAAACGGGCTCCTGTGGAGAGTGTAATCCCTGTGATTTGGAAGATGAGTAGCCATTTCTAAGAGAAAAGGTTGAGAAAGAGCAAAACTTGAGGATACAGGACAAAGGTCTAGAAGTCTGTGACATTTGGGACACTGCATGTGTCAGAGCTTGGAGCACAGGGAATCTGGACAGAGGGAAAGAAAGGCTTACATCAAAAGTCAGGAAAGTGAGCGCAAGCCTTTAATCCCAGCACTCAGGAGGCAGAGGCAGGCAGATCTCTGTGAGTTCCAGGCCAGCCTGGTTTCCAGAGAGAGTGCCAGGAAAGGCTCCAAAGCTACACAGAGAAACCCTGTCTCGAAAAACCAAAAAATAAAAAATAAAAAGTCAGGAAAGTGCCCTTGACATGATTTCACACTTCATCCTCCTAGCCCAGAAGGGAAAATAAACTTCCCATTTTAAGTTGACCCTGCAGTAAGGAGGGCAAGACTGATCCCCGACTGAGGATCAATGTCTGAACTGGGTCACAAGGGACTGCCACTGCTCCCAAGGTACTGTGGGACATGTGTAGTTGATGAAATTTCCTATTACCTGGATATTGCATTCTGATAGACCAAGAACTGTAAGATTCTACTAGGAGCAGTGAAATTCAGTAGAGTTCTAAAAAGCCAACAGCCTGGGAATAAACCCTCTCCCTCCCACCTCCAGCGGGACCCAAGCAAATGACATGGCCTCTTGAAACTTCAGTTTCCTGAAGGTGGAGACAATAGTAGTACCAGCTTCATGGGACTGTTAAAATATTGAAAAGCATCTTACTCAAAGTCCTTAAATAATGGCTTTGATAGTCAGCATTCACTCACTTCTGGTAAGAAAGCCACTACAGATAATATCTCACGTATCGCTTAAATAAAAAGGATCTGTAGAGCAAAGATGACACTTGGTCCTCTTTGTGCCTGGTACCAGCCATTGATAAGCTTCAGAGTTGAAGCTGCATGTTAGTAAAATCTTCATCTTTTTCTTAGTCATCCAGTTCACATCTCTCTACCAGAAGTAGCAGGGATATGTTGGGTGTATAGGGTTGGTCTTAATGAAAAGAACCTGGTCCCCAGATAGAAGGACCTTCCAGCCTACAGAGGCTCAACTCTCAGTTGAGCCCCCAGGACACATAGTTTCCATTTTACTATAAATGTTTGCTCTGCAAAATCGTGATCAGAGAGGCCACAGGCATGTACTCTAGTCTGCATAGAGGAAATCTAAAGTTTGCTTGGATGTTAAATAGTTATGAGATAATGATGCCTGGTGACTTTTATCCAGTAACCCCATCCTATACCAAGTATCAAAACTACAGATTTGAGAACAATTATTATTAAATGGAGAATAGAGCCAGGGTTGTGGTGTATACCTCTAATCATTTGAGAGATGGGGCATAAAAATTGCTCTGAAATTGAGGCCAGCCTGATGGGCTACCTAATGAGTTCCAAGTCAGCTGGGCCACAAAGTGAGACCTTGTCTCAAAAAAAAAAAAAAAAAAAAAAGTAGAAAACTGAAGAACCATGGAAGAGTACTAATGAGAAGCCTCTTCATACTCTAGGGATTAAAGAACTAACTTCAACCAACCAATTTCTTTCAAGTGATTAACTTTCAATTCTCTTGTCTCCAATGACTATCTATAGTCAAAGTTTTGTTGTATCTGTTTACTTTAGATTTTTTTATATTTGTTGTGATAGGTTATATCCAATAATGAATAAATTATCGTAGGAGTGTTGTTTCTTGTTAAGAAGCCCCCTTTGTGAGTATTCACTTAAGCTCCCAGAGCTACAAACAGAAATCAATGAGATCTGGGCAGACTTCTGGGAGAAACAAAGGGAGGTGTGAGGGCCTAAGAGGACCAGAAAAAGCCTATGGTGAAGGATTTAAAAGTCAGGGCCTTGACAAGGTTAGGCCTTTGGCCTTCAGCTTTATAGATGAGATGAGACGTAAATAGAAAGGGGACACCAGAGAGCAGATCAAGGACTGGGTACCAGAGTGAACTGCCAGGCCTCTCAGGTCCCACCAGGTAGGAGGAGCTGAAGCAGAGGACTGGACTGACTGAGCCAGTTGGACAAAGGAAATGCACGTGGAGTTCTTGAACAGGGCAGTGAAGGTGTGGTGAGGATAACTGTCCCAATGTTACAAAGACAAACCAAGCTTGCAAGTAGGACAGGGATTGAATTTGATATCAGCGTGAACACTTGCTAGTTTTTTTTTTATTTTTTTTGTTCATTTGTTTTAAGAAATATAACTTCAGCTTTGCATATGTCTCCTAAATCTTTTAAAAGTAGCACTAGATCTTACCTTTCAATGTCCTTATTCCAGAACTACTATATCTGCTCAGCACAAGGGGAGGGTTCTCCATTCTTTTTTTTTCTTCCTCTTAAAATATAATTGGATTTGTTTTTAAAAATTAACCTGAATGTGATGAGTTCCAGTCCATCATTTTCACACTTTGTCTTGAGCTTGTCCCCTGCTCACTCACTTCCTCCTTCCCCTGCCCTCTTCCCTCTGGTCCCTTTCCTCCCTCCTGTCACACACACTTTGTTCCCTCTCTGTTCTGTCATTTGGAATAACCTCTGGGCAGAAACACTGTCTTCTCCAAAGTCCCTTGAGTTCACAAAACTCAAGGTCCACCTAGACAGCAGCTAAAATGCTCTAACAGAAAATGCAGACTTAGGAAATTCACAGTCCCAGCCATTATTGCCACAAAGACAATCCTCCCAACTTGAGAAAGGTTATTTTTCTGATTGAGAGGAATCACCCTCCTCCCATAAGGCCTGCTTAATTCTGTAAGAGTCTGCTTTAACATTGTTATTAAAAGAATTAGCATCCATTGAATTGTGTTTAGGAGATTGCTCGTATGAATGTGTGTCCATGGAGTGTATATATGAATGTGTGTGTAGGATAGTGTATATGTGAAGGTATATATAGGGGAGTGTACATATGAGTGTGTGTAGGGAATATGATATAGGGGTATGTATAGAGGATCATGCATGTGAGGGCATATATATGTAGGGGAGTGTGTATGTGAGGATGTGGGGGGGGCATGCCTAGGAAGTTATGTATAGAGGGATGTGCATATGAGGATATACATATATATATACATATATATATATATGAGTGTATATAAGGTAGTGTACATATTAGTGCATATATAGGATAATGTACGTGTGGAGATATACATATATATATGAGGGTATGTGTAGGGGAGTTCCCGATTCATTATAAATGGCAAAAACAAGGAAACATTAAATTGATACATAAATATTCAGAAAATTGATCAGTAGTTCTTAGACAAGAACCTCTGACATTTTTAGGGAATCATATAAGTATTTTAGCTAGAGGAGATGTGAAGTCTTACATTTTTTACTTTAAAATTGGCAGGCAAAAATATACAATTCACCGGTTGGGAATCAGCCAGTTGCCAGTGTGTTTGTCCCTAAGCCAGCCACCATGCGGGAGGAGAGTGGCATGCCTCCGCCCTGGGATTCTTCTCTGCTGGAGAGTGAGTTTTTCCAAGGTAAGTTCATGCATCAGATCTCCCTGGGAATACCAGGACCCACAGAGGCAAATACTAATAATAGTTCGTACTAAAATGCTCTAAACAAATTGAGGCCTGAACTTGGTTTCTGAAGCCCCTTACTTCCTGCATCTGAAAAGGATACCATTCTGTCCTATGAACCCAAATCTTGAAGAAACTTATGGTTAAATATAACCCAAGCAAATATTCAGAGATCAAAGACTGGCAGATATACAGGCTGATAATAATGTTTAATGTTTTACCTCAGGTCAAAAAGAAATGCATCTATAAAGCTTGACCTTAAGAGTCTTTTATTGTTCCTGATTAGGGCACTGTGATAAAATGCAGTAGTCGCTAAACAGTTCACCTGAACTGACCTGGATTCCAGAAGTGCACAGTACACATGATTCTTACTTATTTCTGTGTCCGATATGGTTTTTATTAATGACTATTTCATCAATAAATGGATAATCTATTGTATTCATCATAAAATATATATGATAATAATGTCTATTATAATGCAAATCTTAGAAAAATATAAAAAACTTAAGGAGAGTGCAGTTATATTAAAATTCTGAGCCAGGCATTGGTGGCACACACCTTTAGTCCCAGCACTGGTGAGGCAGAGGCAGGCAGATCTCTATGAGTTCGAGGCCACCCTGGTCTACAGAGCGAGTGCCAGGATAGGCTCCAAAGCCACACAGAGAAACCCTGTCTCAATAATAATAATAATAATAATAATAATAATAATAATAATAATTCTGACAGTTTAATGAATTCTAACAGTTTAATTAATTATGATTAAATATAATGCCAAGCGATGCCAACAGTAACCTAGATGATGCATGGTAGGTTGTCTAAAGTTGCAGACTAAGGTACTTCAGTCATGGACCCTGGTCTGGGTTTGGCCTCTGTCCTTCATTATAAGGAGGTCACTGGGACCTGGTTTGGACACCACCCTCTATGGGACCTTGTCCTGAGATAAAAGTCAGCATTGTTTGACATCAGCAGCTTCGCCTCCTTGTGAAGCTCCTTTGCATGGCTCAAGCCTTTGTGAATTAAGACCCAGGAGACAGAGTCTGGGTCCAGATTGCTGCACTAAGTGACCTGGGCATTTACATGATATCTCGCTGCTTCAGCATTCTTACTTATAAAACAAAAATAGTAAAAATAGGGTTTTTTTTAACCCTGTAAGTTTCTATAAATATTTATTAATTGATGTTATGTGTCTGACACTTGGGAAATGCTACAACAGTTTCTGGGAAAAGGAGTCTACAATTAACATATAATTTAATAATATTGTGTATAACTTTAAATTCCACACATTATCCAAATTTATCTAAGTGTTTGTACATTATGTGGTAATGAACTTTTACCTGTAATGCTGCTTTTTTAACAGGACAGCTAAGAAATCACACTGTTTACAGGCTTATTTTTATTATAGTCTCATAGTATGACTAAAGGCTGAACTATTACAGCAACCTAGTGATGTAAAAGAAAGAGGGAAACATGATTAATAATTCCCAGCTTGCCTAATAATCCAGTGGCAAGCCCATATTGCAACCTACATCATTCTCTGCTGTTACTAACTCATGTAGCACAAAAGGTAAACACACTTCAGATACACAGAGAGAAACTGGTTAAAATTCATTAGGACAAATATAATTTTGTGTTATATACAGGCATTCGTATGAAGATTTGTGTGTATACAAGTGTGTGTGTGCTTGTGTGCGTGTGTTCATTTGCACGTGGAGGCCAGAGGTCGACTTTGTGTGTGGTTCCTCAGGCGCTGTCCACCTTGTTTTGTGTGTATGTGTTCATGTATGTGTGGGTGGACACACACTATCAACACTGTCTTCCTAAGCTGCTTTCTACCTTTTTAATTTGCATATGAATGTATGAGTGGTGTGTGTACATATCTGCATTGTGTGAGCGCAGCATGAGAGCTGGCACATTTGTGTGCTCATGTATGGAGAGGCCCAACTTGGCCTTGGACATCTCCCTTGATCATTCTCCACTTTATTGATTAAGGTAGTATATTTCACTGAACCTGGAACTCACTGATTCCTGCTAGTCTAGCCAACCAGGTCAGCCCTGTCTCTGCCTCCCAAGTGATGGATTGCAGGCGAGCTGTGCCCGGCTTTTGACAGCCATCTAGGGATACAAACTCAGGTCTCCAGGCTTACTAGGTAAGCATTTTATCCACTGAGCCACTTGTCCAACTCTCTACCTTTCAGTTACCTTATGTATATAGTGTGGATATGTGTGCATGAGTTCAGAGGCAAGTGTGCCAGTGTGCACATGAAGAGATCAAAGGGCAACTTTAAGGAGACATTTCTCTCCTTCCACCTTTTTAAAGTAGGGTCTCTTGTTGACAGAAGTTTCTGTCCCACCCAGTCCTGCAGCTGTTTGGTCCCAAATAAATACATAGAGTCTTATATTAATTATATAACTGTTTGGCCAATAGCTCAGGCTTCTTATTGGCTAGCTATTTCTTTTTTTTAAGATTTATTTATTTATCTTATGATATTGTCTCCACATATGACTTATGTCAGAAGAGGGCATTAGATTCCACTAGAGATGGTTGTGAGCCACCATGTGGTTGTTAGGAATTGAACTCAGGACCTCTGGAAGAGCAGCCAGTTCTCTTAATTGCTGAGCTATCTCTCCAGCCCCTTGGAGAGCTATCTCTTAATTATTAACCCATTTCTATTAATCTATGTATCTCTACGTGGTCTTGCTCACTGGAGAATGTCTGGGTGTCCTACCTTCATGGTAGCTACATGGTGTCCCCTCACTCTGCCTCCTACCTTTCCCTGTTTGAATTTCCTGCCTGGCTAAATCCTGCCTGTCCATTGGCTGGAACAGTTTTATTCATCAACCAATAAAAGAAACATATATTCAAAGCATATAGAAGGATATCCCCCATCAGTCTCTTTTGCTGTTTCTGACACTGTATAGCATATTCCATGGTAGCTGGTCTACAAGGGTTTTAGCCTATTTTTCCTCTCCACTTCCCATCTTGCTATAGGATTGCTGGCCACACCTATAGATGTATGTCACCATACCCAGCTTTTTAAATATAGGTTCTAGAGTCTGAGGTCATTAGGCTTGTGTGACTGCTGGGCCATTTACCATAGTTTCCACCTTATTTTTTGCGACAGGGTCTCTCACTGAACCTGGAGCTCACTGATTTGGCTAGACTGATTGTCTAGTGAGCTTCAGGAACCCCCATCTCTGCCTCCCTAGCAATGGGATTACAGGTACAGGTCACCATGCCTGGCTTTTACGGGCATTCAGGTTCTAAACTCAACCTTCATGCTTGTGTAACAGCCACTCTACTGACTGAGCCATCACTCCAATCTTTATCTCGTTTGAGATAAGGTTTTTCTTGGGACCTGGAGTTTGCTGAGTAGGCCTGGCTGGCTGGCCAGCAAGCTTCAAGGCCCTACCTGTCTCTGCCTCCACCTCCCTACTACTGGGATTACAAATCCATGCCACTATTCTGTCTTCTTTACATGGGTTCTAGGGACTGAATCCAGGTCCTCAGGTTTGTACAGCAAGCATTTTACTGACTGAGTTGTCTATCCCCTCAGGCTCAAAATTTAACCGTATATTCTTAAAGGTATATGAAAAGAAAAAGAAAGAAAATGCATTGCACTCTTATAAAAGTCAGATTATCATTAATATCATAATCAAGATTAATGTTATGTTAGCCAGGTGGTGGTGGCAGTACATACCTTTAATCCCAGAGGCAGAGGCAGGCAGATCTGAGTTTAAAGCCAGTCTGATCTATAGAGTGAGTTCTAGGACATCCAGGGCTATACAGAGAAACTCTGTTGTGAAAAACCAAAAAGAAAAAAGAAAACCAGATTAATGTTGTATTTATAATAACAAAATATGATTCTCAGAAGGGGTGCTTCAATGACTTTAATTGTTACAAACTATAAAGTCATATACAACAATTAATTTGTGTTCTCCTTTAGTTTTAGATGATTTGGATAGCAAGCTGGCTCAGGAACAATCTGCAGGCTCAGTGAATACCAGAGTGCCATTCAACTACGGGTCAAGAACACAGTTCAAACATTCTCCCTCAAGTAGGAACGAGCATGGCCACACCACAGGAAGGCACCAGAACTATCACAGTGAAACTTCCAACATGTCCATCTATGACATCCTGAGACCAGGAACTCCTAGAGAAGGTTTCAAAACCTTTTCTCCTAGGACAAAGACAATTTATGATATGTATAGGACCAAGGCGCCCAGAGTCTTAAAAGAGGACTTTATGCAAAAGAATACGTTTGGCAGTACATCGTTGTGCTTCGACAGCCGGCAACGATCAGCCTCGCCAGCCACGGGGCGTTTTACTGCAAGGAGTTTACACTTTCCAGCCGATACTCTAAACAAGAATAGTTTTACACCAGCAAGGCACCAGCAAAGCCCCAAAAGAACTCCTTTATCGTCCATCATATGGAATAGGGCAGATTCTTCTAGACATAGGCAGAATTGGGAAGAGTCTCCGGGGGCACCATCACCAATGGACATGGACCCTGCTGATCAGTATGTGGTTCCTAAGTGTTTTCAGGAGAGTAGGATGTATGAGTGGCATCATTCACAGAGTGCTTACCAAGGCATCCCTCTAAATGCCCCCATGGATATTGCCATGAGTCCTGACACTTTAGAGAACTCAGAGAATATGCCATTCTACCATCAGAACAATCCATTTGCAAGGTCTTTCTTCAGCAGTACCTTCAGACAGAGTGGAGAACAGAGATTTGGACAGAATTCCTTTTGGAGCCAACAGGAAGAACATTCTTTCTGGTCAGACTTACACCAGAGCAGGAAGCCATTCCCTTCTGACAGGGACTTTGAAATGATTTCTGTTGAAACAACCAGGACACCATCTACTTATAGCCACGGTGTCCCTTCTCGACACTGGAGGCCACATTCTCCTGGTTATGGAACATATGTTTTCAGAGGTCAAGAGGATCCACATTGCTGGCGAGCTGATCTTCAAACATCCCCACTGGAGAGCATGGACACATCACATGTCAACGAGAACCAATTTCTACCCCATTTTGTCACACCAGATGGTTTTTCCATGACTGGCTCAAGCTGCCACATCCAGTCTTCTGGGCTGGACTATCGGCAGGGCCGCCGTCCTGTAGACATAGCTGTAGATGAGAAGCCTTGTTTGTTTGGCAAGGCTCAGACTCTAGTGTCCTCCTTCAGAGCTTCCTTGCCCCTGATTCCTGGTGACAGGAGAGATTCTCAGAGTCCCAGCTTCCAGAATTCCACCGTTGCTCCTGAGAAAATAATCCCTGATAAGCCAGACTCTCTTCCAATAAGAAACTGTACAGAAGTCACTGTGACTGGTATCCATTCGACTGGATTGCTGTCTCTTACTGAAACCCAACCCAACATCCCCGGCATGGAAATGAACAGTGAGAAAGATGTGAATGAATCTGTTTCAGAGGATGAATGGCTAAACAAGACGGGCCAGAAAAACAAGGCAAGTGGGTCGCCCCAACCTATTTCACAGACAGAGATCTCTAATGATTTACCCGATTTACAAAATGCCCACTCCCAAGACTCAACCCAAAACTCCAGGTTTGGCTTTAATGATTCTGCCATGGTAAGTTCCAGAAGGTCACCCAGAGTCTTTTCCAGGAAAGGCACATCCCAAATGCAAACAGCACCAAGAGATAAAGCCAATGAACTGAGCAAAGATAAAGACTTTCCTGGGAGCAGGAAACTTGACTCAGCAGCTTCCCTGACTCTCATCCAAGAACGTGGGACACAGCCATCTCTTTCCAGCCCAGATCAAGGTTGTCACCAGAAAACAGGAAGTAATGGAGACAGCTCAAGCATCATTAAAAACAACCACTGGTGCTTTGAATCCACTGCTACCCAAAAAGAAGAGTCCCCAGAGGAACTTGCTAGTTTGGATCTTGAGCAACAACGATGTCCTTCCATTCATTCTACCAATGGCAGCAAGCTGGTCTCCAAGCACAGTGACTCACAAGATTCTTTAGTTGTGCCATCAGGTGTACCCCAAGATTCCTTGCCATTGAGTGATTCTTTCCCTGATGTTCTTCTGATACCTTCTGCAATGTTCCCCAGGAGGCTTTTAGACCAAGATCCATCCCAAGAAGAAAGAGAAGAAAAAGAGAAGGCTACAAAGATCCAAAATAATCAGTTGACTGTGAATTCTACAGATAACCAAGAGAGTCATGACAGTCCTGCCCATCTGCACGATGCTGTCCACTGTCATCCTTACTCTCCCTTCAGAAATGGGAGGGGGAAAGGAAGAGTAAGACGCCATGTGTCCTGTATTGAGAAGCTAACCAAGACAGAGAATAGAGCAGCACCCACAAGCAAAGGCAGTAGCCTCACTGAGGACCAAAGTAGTGTCAAAGCCCCTGAGCTCAGCACAGTCTATTGCACCTTGCCAAGAAAACCAGCTGGCTTTCTCATACACAGCAGACAGCAGGAAAGTAAGATAATGCCCGCTTCAATTAGGAATGGGCCACTTCCGTTCCAAATAAAAAATAAAGCGGATGTTCCAACTAGGAAGAGCATATCTGACAAACCCAGTTCTCCTAAGTCAATGAGCGATACTTCAAATTCGATCATGGGGGTGCCCGAAGCCACCAAAAAAATGACAGATATGAAAGCCATTAGATCGGCTTCTGTTAGGAAAGGGCCACTCCCTTTCCTCATTAAGAGGGCGGTATCATGTCCTTCAGGGGAGCCAGGTACCTTGGCTGAAAGTGGTGAAAGAGAAAAGTCACCAGTCCTGGACGTGGACGCTTCTGCTGTCATGCCTAGGCCTTGGGGAAGAATCTTCAGTTCTCTGGAAGGTGACTCGTCATTTAGAGAGAGTACTTTCTCTGAAAGACACAACCAAAAGGAACTTGTTCAAGGAAACACCAGGAAGGATGATGAGGCACCTGCCCCGGGAACGAGCTCATTCACCCTTTCAAACAAAACCCCCAAGCCTCTGTATGCCGACACTTCAGAAAAAGAGAGTGGGAAAGCCTTACACAAGTTTAAGACAACCAGCATGTTCTCTGTTTCTGGTGATGAAGAGAATGTGAAATGTCTTGAGGTGGTTTCAATATATTATACTCTACCAAGGAAACCCAGCAAAAAATTCTGCAGCCTCCTTCAGCAGTATGCACAAGGTACAGATTCACTTCGAGACGCTTTTCAGGGAGAGACTGAAGCATTCCCTAATGCTTTGGAAAGTGATGAGCTGAATGGTCCCGCAGGAGTGCAGTCGGGAATACCTCCACCACCAGACCTAAAGATGCAGGTTGACTCTGCTCCATGCTGTCTTTCTCTCGGCACTGAGAATAATAGGGAGGCTTCCCCATCTACCTTGGAGGAAATGGCTTCTGTGAGGTCAGATGTTTCTCTTCAAAAAGGAGAACCTCAGACCAAAGAAATTTCCCCAGGTAGCTTAGCTAAAACAGCTGTAGATGATTCCCTAGGTAGGAAAAAGAGAGGGGGTAAGTTTCCAAGACAAATCCTACAGAGCCTGTTACTGCCTCAAGAAAAAAGTGCTGGAGGAGAAAACACTAAAGGTCATCACCAGCCTTCTAAAGGGGGAGATGGTGGGGCCCCTGGCCTCCCAGCCCACTCAGAAGATAATGCTGAAAATTCCCAAACCAGACAAAATTCTGGAGCCTGTGCAGATGTCACAGCTACTGTATCTCCAGGAAGGTGTCCTTGGCAAGATCACATGGCTATAGTTATAGACTATGAGAGTTCTAGTGGGTCACAGCCTAGGGAAGCCAATGGGACAACTGGATCAGACTGCCAAAACCTGACTGATAAAATGCTCTCTGACTCAGAAAGGCAAGCCTTTGCTCTAACCCCAGCATTGCATAAGCTGCAGCTTGCTGAAGAGGCCCAGTCAGGGGGAGCAGATCTGCAGCCAGAATCCAGACAGGCAGGAAGTCAGGAGACAAATACAACAGAGACCAGGAAGGTTAAAGATGAAGCACAAAAGTTGGCATGGGATCAGACTTTACTTCCTGGAGGAAATAATGAAAATAAAACCAACATGGGCGACCTAGAAACAAAAGAAAACAGATACTCAGTTAAACACAGACTGACAGCCATGTCTAAAGCAAGCAGAAAAATCCCAGCTAAGGATTTAGGTCCCAGAAGACACGTAGCCACTGTCTTCTCCCAAAGTGAAAGCCAGTCTGGCTTTAGGAGGTTATCTCTTTGCAGATCAGAGGACAGCCCACTGTCCCCTGAACTTGTAAAATCCACAGAGTCCGCAGATGAAAGCAGCCTGGTGAATGTGGACAAATGTGAGACCCCTCTCCAAGCTACAGCAATATCCAACTCAGAACCTCCTTGTCAGTCCTGCAATCAGAGGTCTGCTAACATTTCACAACCACTTCAGAATGAGCCTAACAGTGTCTTAGAACCACTCGCGAAGAGTGGGGATTCTAGTGCCCAGATTCCGGGAGAGTTGGGAGCCCCAGCTCAGCTCACACTGACCAGCCCCATAGAAAAAAGCGCTAACCACCAACAGAGGTTGAGTCTGCCTTTGCCCCTGGAATCTACGCAGAAATCTACAATAAACCTGTCCCATTATCAGCTGCGCCACAGGAGTGCCCAGTCTCCAGAGTCAGAACCTGAGCCTCTCCTCTATAGGTCAAAGAGTTTAAAAAACTTCAATGTGCAGGGTGACCGGCTGTGCAAAAGCCATCCTCCCAAAGCCAGGGGGCGCCATTTTTCTGAGAACACTTCCATCAACACTGCTCTCAGTCAACTGTCCCTTGATGATGACGCCTCCCACAACAGTGCTTATTGTCGAAGATTCAAATCTTTTTCTGAGCTTCCTGCCGCTGATGAAAGTGAAAGTTGGGCGTTGTATAACAACAGGACTAGATTGGGTCCCAAATCCACCTCATCCATTTCCAGGCCTATTGACTATGGGATTTTTGGGAAAGAGCAGCAGTTGGCTTTCTTGGAGAATGTCAAGCGGTCACTCACACAAGGAAGATTGTGGAAGCCAAGTTTCCTCAAGAACCCTGGCTTCCTCAAGGATGATGTACTCAATGGTTCCAACCTGTCCAAGTCAGAGCTGTTGAATTCTGGTGGTCGGTCATCAGAAGATGGCTTAGTTCCAAGTGAACCGCTTAATATCTATGAGGAGGACCCAGTGGACTCAGACCGGGACACAGACACAACCACCGATGACGAATACTACCTGGATGAAAATGATAAAGAGTCAGAACTGTGAGACTGTAAGAAACTGCATAATATAATACTCTACGTTTTGCTTTTTAACCAAAAACTTATTGTAGAAATGACTCTAAATTTATAGACAGGTAAAAGAAGATCTGGCTTGGGCAGTGTCTACACCAAAATACCCATTCCTTTTCCATATATATGTATTTTTTCTTCCATAGTATCTGAATTCTAACAACGATTGCTGTTTTTGAGGGGTTTTGTTTGCTTTTCCTGGTATTTTTTCCTGATGTGTTGGAATTTGACCTTCTTTTCTCCCAACCCTATCTCTAAGCCACTTTCCAATGTTGGCTCTATTTTCCTCATCACTTTTTTTACATCTCTTAACACAACACTTAATAGTTTGGGCACCTGTTAAAACTTGTTAATGCCGGGCATTGGTGGCGCACGCCTTTAATCCCAGCACTCGGGAGGCAGAGGCAAGTGGATCTCTGTGAGTTGGAGGCCAGCCTGGTCTCCAGAGCAAGTGCCAGGATAGGCTCTAAAGCTACACAGAGAAACCCTGTCTTGAAAACAAACAAACAAACAAACAAACAAACAAAAACTTGTTAATTACCCAGCACAGTTGCAAAACTATATTTGCCTCCTTCTGTCCACAGCCTGAATTCAAGACATTAAATATAAGGTAGGGAAAACAATAGTCATTATATGTGCACTGTGTTCATGCAGTGCCCCCAGAGGCACTTGAGGACATTGGAGCCCCTGGAATGGGAGTAACAGATGATTGTTAGGGGTCATGCAGGTGCTAGGAACCAGACCTGGGCCCTCTGCAAGAGCTGCAAATGCTCTTAACCACCGAGCTCTCTCTCTAGCCACAAGATAAAGGTATTATTATGAGAACATCCTTGCACTTCAAAAGTGGAGTCTTGACATGTGTTTAGAGTAAATGTTGAGGTTAAAAATGAAGGGTTAGTCCCATTAGTGCCTACAGGAATTTCTCTGAAACTGTTTGTGGTGATTGGCTGAATTTTTGAGGACTAAGTTTTCATCAGTGCCGAATGTGCAGGCACCGTGGTTTGGTCACAGACACATAGCTAACAGATGCAGCCACTGTGGCTTGGCCATAGATACATAGCTAACCGGTGAAATCGAGCTGACAGTGTCTTATTGGACCAGTTTTTTTGCTGCTCTTTCCACAGCTGATTTTTTTTCATCTCCAAACCTGTCCATTTCTCATTTCCTTATTTATAGCCCAGACTGGGGCTTATTAAACATTTTCTCACTTAATTTATAGCTTTGGGAATTTTTAAATGCCATCAAGTATATACATATGTAAAATAGGTGTACAAATCAAACATTCACTTATAACTCAAATGTATTTTAAAAGTTTTCTGGCTTACATGCAAATTTATCATTTGTTTAAGATAAAAACAAACATATACTACCAAGATAGGTATCTCTACTCATCTAGCACAGTACAATCCAAGAACATTCTAATGTTACCCACAAGCTGGAGAACAAAGTAGTAACAAGTCTTTGTTGTCTGTAATTGCATTTCTTTATGAGCAGAAATCTTTGCATGTGTGGTAAAAGCAGTGTAGTTCATATAGAATAACATCAGATTCCCCGCCCCCTTCTCTTCCTCTACTCTCTGCCTGCACTCTTTTCTCTTCCTCCACCCAGTACAGGTGTGCATGCTGAGTGTTTGGACCAAGGCTGCAGTGAAGTCACACTAACACCACGGGTGAGCACTGCCAGGATTCATTTATGTTTAATTTTGAATTAATTCTTGTTCAGTGCACATTCAGAAACCTTTACTGCTGCCTTTTTTTTTTTAACCCCGAATTTAGTTGTACAACTCCATATAGAGTGAGAACCTATGGTTAACTAAGCTTTGGGCTAGGACACTTCTGAAGGAGCATTTAGTGGGAACCTTGAAGAAGTCCTTAAAATGCTAGGTCAGATGTGATGTCTAGGGACCGCTTGGCTTCTCTGCTGAACCATCTATCAAACCCTCAGGAACATCTAACTCAGAACTCCTAATTTATTGTAAATATCTCGTGATACCCATTGCTAATTTGGCTTCCTACCTCTTTAGTTGACACATAGGCATTTGGAGCTTTATCTCCTTGTAATTCAAGGCAAAGGCTGAGGATGATGTAGACCAGCAGGCAGCATGGGATCCTGGATCTCAATACAGAGAGGATTTTGTCTTGTTTTTATAGCTATTTCATGACATACTTTTATTTTCCACTGTTCATTCAGATAAACTGAAGCTAAGGTTGGGTGTTAGCAAAGCATATAGAGATCTGGCACTGACACCAAATGCAAGGAAGATCTGTATTATGACAGTCCCATAAAACTCGAAACTAGTGAAGGTGAGGTCACTAATATGAAAGCCTTTCCACTCAAACTTCAAACTCTAGGCAATTTGGAGTTCAAAGAGACGCCTAATAGAACTCTAAATCACTTGTTCTGCACCAATTCAAACTTGAATGGCACAGAGTAACATTCAGTTTCTTATTTAAGGGTGTATATGCCTTTCCTCTTTTGCTATTTATCTGATTATTTAAGTAAAACTCTCATATATTATGACTTTTTGTGTAATTTTAAGGTATTCTGAGATATTTTAACATTATGTCGTTGGTTGTTTTTTTAATGATCGCCATGAGATGCTGTTTCAATAAGTATTTTGAGTCTACATGTTTGCTACAAAAGGTGACACAAAGTTAGCTTGTTTTCCACAGAGGTGAGGCTCTGAGTGAGGCAGGGATACCAGGGTAAGAATTGACAATAGCTTTGGGACTTACTCTCCTCCGTGTAATCTACTTCCCACATTGAATCTGATGGCCATTGCTTCTCTGCACTATGTGTGAAGATACCTGCTTGTCAGGCTGAGGAATCAGGGAAACAGTAATTTCCCCAACATAAGACAGAACCTTTACTGTTTTATAGTTTTATGTAGAGCTTCGTTGAAGAAGCATAGCAGATTTCTTTGTGTTGTAATATATAAACTGCTGGAATTAATGCTCATTTTGGAATAGCTGTGGTAACTTTAATAATAGTCATTTTATATTGTTTTTTTTCTAAAATATATAATCATTATTAAGCTTTCTTGTAAATGGAGTAAAATACTAATGAATCGATACTAATAAGTGCCTAATAAATAATCAGCTTGCTTAAATGTGAGGCTAACACAGCTATAAATATTAAGTTAATTTGTTTAAAATGGATTTTAATAATATTGTTTTGCTTTTTAGATGCTACCTTCTGAGTAGTTTATTGTAACATCATAAATACTGTGATCTTAATAAAACTCTAATTGCTACTCACAGGAGTTTGGTTAAAGATAAACTTGAAAAGAGAAAATTATTTTGTATATGAAATAAAGATGAGTCACAAGGGTGCTAAAAGAAGCCTACTTAGGGCGTAGAAAAGATGAGAATCAAATGGAAATCGCCAAGGAAACCTTCTCTCAGAAAGAAAAAAAAAATGGAAATTCACACCTCTGTAAAAACAAGTTCCTCTATTGAATGCTGGTATGTTCAAACAGGCCTTATTGCTTAGAGTTTACTGTCCATAGTAGAGCTGTAGAATATCCTATCTAAATGTACAGTATAAATATGTAAATATGTTACTTTGATGGCTCTTTGTGACTGATAGTCTATTCTGAAACAATAAGCCACCATAAGCACTTTTGTCAAAACTGTCAAATAATCCTCTTATGTTTCTCCTCAGATCTGTTCCCAAAGTATGGACTATGTTATAAGGTGAAATTTTACAATAATGCTTGTGTTGAAATAAACAACCTGAACAGACACATTATGCTTGTTTTTTGTTTTGTTTTGCATTTGTACTTCTGGAGATGGAACCTAGACCACTAGGCAAGCACTCCACCACTAAGCCACAGACTCTACCACAAATTTACTGTTAGTCTTGGTTTTGCCTCCTACCCTCAGATAATTTTTTAATTTTTAAATGTGTATGAGTGTTTTGCCTGCCTATAACCACTGGTGGTGGATGCCAGGCTAGCCCAAGTTCTGGGCACTGTGGAGTACACACAGGCATCCTCGGCTTTCTCCACACTAGCCTCTCTGCCCTAACCTGTGGTAATTGGGTCAGTGACCTGGGCCCAAGCTCAGTATGTTCAGACGCCCAACCAAAGCCTGGGAAAGGCCGAGGGCCGTTCAGGTCCTGGTTCTGACACGCTCTGGGTTGAGATCTACCTGAAGGCGTCAAAAGCCTGTGTCCATTCTGTAGGATGAGTTCCTCCAGATTTCTCAGTCTGGGGACAATATTTCCTTGGAGTTTAATGCAAATGAGGAAAAATAATTGGCTAAAATGAGCAAGCCGGGAGTGGAAGGGGGAGAATGTCCTCTCTAGCCCTTGAGAGTGGGGACCACTCAAGCTATCCATCCTACTTTTCCAAAGTGGGCAGGGAGAGAAAGTACCTGGCTCTGAGAAGTAGCTTGCCCACACAGCTCAAGGCAAGGCCCAGACCCTGCCTTTTGTTGCCCAAGTGCCTTGTTCTCCAACATGAATGGATACTCAGAAAACACTGTTTGAAAGAGGGAACCACACTCCAGGGCCTCCATTGAGGGAGACAGCCAAACACAAAATATATGAAACAGGCCAGCCTCTGTGTGAACCAAAACCAATGAACTTCTTCACAGGGAAGACGTTCCTCTTTGTTCCATCTGTGGCACCAGGAACCAACCCTGGACCTTGTACATGCCAGGCACTTACTGTACAACTAAGCCACATCCCAACCCTGAGTCTGTAACATTTAAAACCGTTTTTTGTTGTTGTTTTGTATTTTTCAGACTGGGCGTGGTAGTGCCCACCTTTAACCCCCACACTTGGGAGTCAGAGGCAGGTGAATAGCAGTGACTAAAAGGCCAGGCGATCTATGTAGAGTTCCAGGCCAGCAGGAGCTACATAGTGAGACCCTGCCTCAACCAATTAATTAATTAAAAGCCTGTTTCTCCACAAGGCAAGGTGGCTTACACACCTTACTGGAGAAGGCCGGGGAGGAAGGATTGCCATCGGTTCAAAACTAGCCTGGGCTACAGAGGGAGGCTTCCTTCTCAAAAGGAAAAACAGAGCAAAATAAAAAATCAGTGAAAACGGAAACAACAACAACAAAACGGCCTCTCTCGAAACTCCTGACAAACTCAAGCAACTAGTGTTGGTCTGGCAAGCCAGGGGCCTGGGCATGGTGCAAGCCAACACCCTGTCGGTGCCGGGGTGCGCGCAAGGCCCGCGCGGGGCGGCTCTAGGCAGAGGCACGCCCCCGAGTGTCCCCTCGAGCCTGGCGCTCCGGCCCCTCCCCGGCCAGCGGAGCTGAGAGCCGGCGACCATG